TTATGTTCTGTAGAAACGTGTTGCAGAAATATCGGGAATGACGATATGAAGCGTTTTTTCGCTCCGGCATCCGACCATCACACTCCCACAATTGAGTGATACAGAAAGACACATTCGGGAGAAGTTTCATCGTGTTATTTCTGTGCGGTGACATGATAGCAATGATGCATGAATAATAATGATACATTGTAGCGCGTGGAATACATTTAGTGGAGCTGCAATGATGAGAGGTATGGGGGAGACCGGATTGTGTACAGAGCCGACACTGAGCGGGATCACAGATTGGCCGCGTCCCATCGCTGATAGAGGAGATGGCACGGAAACCGCTCTCCATGGCGTGTTGAGGAGCAGAGCCGTGTCACGTGTCACACAATAAGTACAGACAACACGGAGATATCAGATGCAGAACAAACATGAAACTTCTGAGGACGGAAGAGAAAGGATTTAGGAAACACGAAGCGCAGGGAGGGGAACTCACCGGGATTGGGGAAGCCCTTTCTTGCTGAGGTCGGCACGAACGCGCTCTCCCACGTGTTTGTAGATTTCCACCAGGCAATTTATTGCTGCATCTCGCACCTGCAGGGGAGACGCACAGAGCACACGTTACATCCTGAGCATGGAGGAAAACAACGCAGACGCAGCATCGGTGACCCCGGCCGCCTCGTTCCTCTCCGGAGGACACAAAAGTTCAATCTAAAATTATCATCAATTCCCTTATGTGCATATTCTCCAGAACTATATACTGAGCTGAACGCCGATCTCCCGGCTCATGTATAATAGAATAAATCACGGCAACCGGACTTCCTGTATTTTTATTGATGTTTTGCTGGTCATGTGACTAGCCATCATTCTGAATTGAGATAGTCAGGTGACCAGTGAAACGTCTTCAAGGAAAATACAGCAAGTCCAGTTGCCTTGACTTATTTTTTTAAAAGATATACCATGTGACCTGGATGAACTTTCGCAGACTCCCGGCAGATATATAAAAACACCAATGAATGCAGTTGTATAAAAATGGATTACATGTATTCCTAAACGCAATTACAGTTTGTAACAGACACTGACTCAGGTATCAGCCTCCTGTATTATCTGTACACAGAGCCCAGACTGGGAGAGAGAGGGATGGCTCAAAGGGCTAGCTGGCTGTGCTTATGTGCAAACAAGGAACATACTGATAGGAGGAGAGAGCAGAGAGATCAATGAACTCAAATGAGGTCAGACAGAAGAGGTGGTCAGACAGAAGAGGGAAGGGAAGGCCGGAGGTCAGACAGAAGAGGGAAGGGAAGGCCGGAGGTCAGACAGAAGAGGGAAGGCCGGAGGTCAGACAGAAGAGCGAAGGGGAGGCCGGAGGTCAGACAGAAGAGCCAAGGGGAGGCCGGAGGTCAGACAGAAGAGCGAAGGGGAGGCCGGAGGTCAGACAGAAGAGCGAAGGGGAGGCCGGAGTTCAGACAGAAGAGTGAAGGGGAGGCCGGAGGTCAGACAGAAGAGCGAAGGGGAGGCCGGAGTTCAGACAGAAGAGTGAAGGGGAGGCCGGAGGTCAGACAGAAGAGCGAAGGGGAGGCCGGAGTTCAGACAGAAGAGTGAAGGGGAGGCCGGAGGTCAGACAGAAGAGCGAAGGGGAGGCCGGAGTTCAGACAGAAGAGTGAAGGGGAGGCCGGAGGTCAGACAGAAGAGCGAAGGGGAGGCCGGAGTTCAGACAGAAGAGTGAAGGGGAGGCCGGAGGTCAGACAGAAGAGCGAAGGGGAGGCCGGAGTTCAGACAGAAGAGTGAAGGGGAGGCCGGAGGTCAGACAGAAGAGCGAAGGGGAGGCCGGAGTTCAGACAGAAGAGTGAAGGGGAGGCCGGAGGTCAGACAGAAGAGCGAAGGGGAGGCCGGAGTTCAGACAGAAGAGTGAAGGGGAGGCCGGAGGTCAGACAGAAGAGCGAAGGGGAGGCCGGAGTTCAGACAGAAGAGTGAAGGGGAGGCCGGAGGTCAGACAGAAGAGCGAAGGGGAGGCCGGAGTTCAGACAGAAGAGTGAAGGGGAGGCCGGAGGTCAGACAGAAGAGCGAAGGGGAGGCCGGAGTTCAGACAGAAGAGTGAAGGGGAGGCCGGAGGTCAGACAGAAGAGCGAAGGGGAGGCCGGAGTTCAGACAGAAGAGTGAAGGGGAGGCCGGAGGTCAGACAGAAGAGCGAAGGGGAGGCCGGAGTTCAGACAGAAGAGTGAAGGGGAGGCCGGAGGTCAGACAGAAGAGCGAAGGGGAGGCCGGAGTTCAGACAGAAGAGTGAAGGGGAGGCCGGAGGTCAGACAGAAGAGCGAAGGGGAGGCCGGAGTTCAGACAGAAGAGTGAAGGGGAGGCCGGAGGTCAGACAGAAGAGCGAAGGGGAGGCCGGAGTTCAGACAGAAGAGTGAAGGGGAGGCCGGAGGTCAGACAGAAGAGCGAAGGGGAGGCCGGAGTTCAGACAGAAGAGTGAAGGGGAGGCCGGAGGTCAGACAGAAGAGCGAAGGGGAGGCCGGAGTTCAGACAGAAGAGTGAAGGGGAGGCCGGAGGTCAGACAGAAGAGCGAAGGGGAGGCCGGAGTTCAGACAGAAGAGTGAAGGGGAGGCCGGAGGTCAGACAGAAGAGCGAAGGGGAGGCCGGAGTTCAGACAGAAGAGTGAAGGGGAGGCCGGAGGTCAGACAGAAGAGCGAAGGGGAGGCCGGAGTTCAGACAGAAGAGTGAAGGGGAGGCCGGAGGTCAGACAGAAGAGCGAAGGGGAGGCCGGAGTTCAGACAGAAGAGTGAAGGGGAGGCCGGAGGTCAGACAGAAGAGGGAAGGCCGGAGGTCAGACAGAGGAGCGAAGGGAAGGCCGGAGGTCAGACAGAGGAGCGAAAAGTAGTGCCAGCTCTATAAACGATAAACGTCTAGCACATCACCCACCCAGAACTCTCTCCATCCTGGGGGGGGGAGGGGGACATATCAGAGAGGTAGCTCTCACCTCAGTCCTGATTTCAGCTGTAGGAGTTTTTGGGGAATGCCGTAAAAAGGGAATTCAGAGTATGACGGGAGAAGTTCAGAGACTTGTGGCACTGATGATGAAGTGTGCACAACATTCGCAGAGACGTGTCGCAGATAAAAGACAAATGCGCTGTGCTGCCATCTAGAGGCTGTACGGTATGATGCCGCAGTCACAATAGAGGCCATGAAAACGCAGTTCAGCCTCATAGAAATAAATGGCGAACCTCAGCAAACATTTCCATCCCGCGGTGAGAAAATGAAGTCTGACCGATACAGGAAATAATTCCACTTTCCTTTCCTCCCATAGAAGGCTCCATCCTGACACAAACTCACCGAATGTTTCATGGCTTCTGTGAGGAAGTGAGGAAGTCAGAACCTCCGCTGTGTGTGAAGAATAAGTCTGCTCATATTTTGTCTTCTCTGGTTCCGGACAGTTCAATGGGTGATCATCGGGGGACCAAAAAAGACTAGCCACATTTTGGGGCGCACAGGAAATGAGGACGACATAAGGGATTCCAGTAGAAATGTTGGCCCAGAAAGAGGACAAGAAGCAGGGAGGGGGCGAAGAGTGGAACTCCGGCTTGTATCTGCCGGAAACCACAGCTAGTACACCCCGGCATCGGAGACGCACCTGACAAGGTGTCCCCCATAACAGATGTCTCCCACCATGCCGGATAAAACGGTCAACCTGGGGGATTTAGAGGCCCAGCACTCACAAATGAAGTAGACTCCTGGCTTAGGTCTGGCCTTGGCATTGGGGGGGTCCTTGAGAGCTTGAGGCCTAGGCTACCTTGGCTGAGGTAGGAGAGTACTCAAACCCCAGAGACATCCAAGAAGAGGGGGGCCAAGACTGCTCCGAAGAGACCCACGGAGGCCTTGCACCACAAATAAATGCTCCACAGCTCAACACACTAACCAAAGAAAAGGACCTCCAAGTATAAAAGACCCGGTGCGTCCTCCAATGGGATCATGCCGGATCAACAATGGGAGCAATCCACTGCTGGCAATGGACTCCCCAAAAGACGACAAAGCTGCAAAAGAACTGGGAGGAACAACAAGTCTCCAAGTCCCCATACAGGAGACCTGGGAATAACATGTGCATCACAAAGGGGTTTGAAGTCCTTGGGCTAGACCAATATTTCATGGTGGTACACACCGCAGTAACAAGGGCCCAATAGCCACTTCACGCCTGGGAACGATGGCAGCCGCCTGCGAGTCCTCAGCATAACATCTGGTAAGAAGAGAGGTTTACCTGAGAAAGCTGCAGCTGAAGGCTCTGAGGCCGCTAGCGCTGAAGGCAGGTAATCCAATGATGGTGTAGAGGAATTCTCATGGCTACTGTGTTCGCTATTAATAGCTATGAAGTGAAACAGCCCCCTGCCACCCCCAGATAGGAGGATCAAACCCATACTATCCCCCGAGAGGGTGTCCAGCCACCCCTGGGAGTCCCAGCTATAAGCACCGGATGATTAGTAGAAAGGAACAAGGAGCTGCCATAAGGGAGGAAGGCCGGGCCAAATAATGCCCTGATAAGGAGTGCTGGATCCCCCTGAAGAACTCCCCACCAGGAGCAGAGCCACCCTGCGCCCCAGTGACAGTGGAGGCGAGCCGATATGATGTCATTAGCCAGCGCACGCCCATACACATCATTCATCCATACTTAACAAGGGCACCTGTGCTTGGCTATACAAACAATGGCCTGCCTCTAACATGGCCGCTGGAGCTTCACCACAATGAAAACACAGGGCCAGGCTGCAGATTAAACATAGGAGACTCGTTCAGACTGCTGGTGATGCCTAACCATGGGTGATAGACCTGCCAGCCACCCACATGTAAAAATCCTCCGGCCATACGAGTAGGTAAACGCACACCGTAGGGACAAAAAGGGGGTACCATCCCCTGATAGGACATCTCCTGGCTGGGGGAAAACTGTGGCAGAGCATTTAAAGAAGTCACTCGGTCATATGCAGGGCTTGAAAAATCCACTCGCCCGCTCGTCCGTGACGAGGGAATGGTGGAGCCCGACGTGCAGCTTCCCGGCCTGATCGCTTGTATTACCAGCAGCTGTCACTGCCGTTGTCGGTCCCGAGACCCGATGCGGCCAGGACCGGCGCGGCTCTGTGACAGGAGATCAAAGGGAGCCAGTACACGTTCTCCCTTTGATCTCCTCTCAGTCCCGGAATGCAGGAAGTGATCTCTATTACATCACTTCCTGCATTCAGTGTCACTTTCCAGCTACAGAAGCTGATGAAGCCGATCTCTGCTTCATCAGCTTCTCTGGGGGTCCCTAGGTGACATTAGGGGTCTTGGAGACCCCTGACGTCTTCATCTGTCATGTAAATTGGCTATCACATAGGGGGCTTCTTAGCCCACCCATGTGATAGCAATAAAGTTGTGTAAAAAAAAAAGTACAGTAATACAAAAATTAAAGAATCAAAAAAAAAAAATAAAGCATTAAACGTTTTAAAGGAAAACATTTGAAGTCCTCCGCCCCCCACATACACATGCAGATATGCGTCGGGTGTGCCTACGTGCGAAAACAACAATTGTGCTGCACATGTTACATATCACCGCGAACGTCAGAGTGTGAGCAATAATTTTAAGGCCATTAAAGGATAGTTAAACCCTCACGTTTTTTTGCATATATAGCAAGCAGTAGATATATGCAAAAAAAATTTTTTTTTAAGGCTGGGTTCACACCTAGGTGTATTGAATATGCGCGTTTGTTTCCGTAGGCTACTTGGCTGTATCCCAATGGAAACGCGAGACCAAAACGTCCCAAAGAAGTACATGTACTTCTTTGGGCGTAGGCCGTTTTGTTGCGCGTTCAGACGGGCTGAAATACGCCCAGGTGTGAACCATACCCATAGGAAATAATGGGATTTCTGTGTTTCAGCGTTTTGCAGAGCGTACGAACGCGCTACAAAACGCCCAGGTGTGAACCGGGCCTAAAACAAAACGCTCAAACAACGGGGTTAAGGCTTTTCCCCATAGTTCTCCTTAGGGTAATGGGAGGACACAAACTAACGTCCTCCAGTCTAGGCTCCTAGGCTCAGTAGGCTCCTATGCTCAGTATACTGAGACGCCGCAGCTGAAGTGGATCCCGACAATTGTGCCGGGATCCGCCCAGCTGCGTGACTGACAGCTGGCTCTGCCTATCTAGAGGCAGAGCCAGCTGTACCCGCCCCCTCCTCCATCCGCTTCGCCAGTCAGCGCTGGCGGATCGGAGCGGGGAGGGGGGAATCCAGCCCCTCCCCTGTCACAGCAGAGAACCGTGACAGGATCGAGAAGTGAGCGAACGCCGGTATGTGTTCTCTCACCTCCCGATCTACTGAGCCGACCTGTGACAGTCTCATTGTCACAGGTCGGCTAGAACTATGAGGAGGAGTGAAAAGCATCCCCCCTCATAGTTCTCCTTTAACACTAGGCAAGAAGCTGAGCTGCCACTAGCACTGTGGAGGGGGGACTACTATCCTACTACTGGAGCCGGTGCTATAAACCCAAGGGTTAGAGATCCAAGCACATAGCCGTGTCCTTCAATAAAAGGTTTTAATACATCAGCTCAAATATTATAGGGTAGCCCTCGGCTGAACCTCACAGTACAATGCCAGGGTGGCTACAGGAATCCTAAACAAGCTAAACCCCTCATTACCTAAAAGTGGAAACAAGCGCTCATGTATTGATCATCAATGTTAAAGAGTGTCCACGATGGATCTGCATTTTCTTGTACTTGTAGCCCTCCCCATTGCTACAAACTACAAAAAACAGCAGAGCTTTACCCTGCCAATCCCACACATACCCGCCATCGTAACGCACATCTAAGGCACTGAGATTTGTGTTGGAAAGAGAGGTCGGAGTTACAGAATTATACAATAAAAATGAAATAAACACATCACAGGGGGTGACTGCCTTCTTACCTGACTGTTGGGGTCCCCGAGCAGGTTACATATGTGAGGTACAATCTTGCTCAGAGTCAGGTTGTTTGCTCCGTATCTGTAAACAGAACATACGATGGATTATTTCCAGCCATAGGAAGCAGAGATTTGACATGACAGGGACTGGAAGGAAACTCACATGTTAAGAGTCGCTATAAGGCAGAGACAGACCCCTTCCCGGGTGCGGAAATTCTTGTGCTTGAAGCCTCCCAGCATCCGATCCCAGACATACTGGAAGGAGATACAAAGGTCCACCATGAGACAACATCACAAAGATCATATCACAGCACAGGCAGACACGTGGCCACCTGAAACATTGCTTATCACGTCACAGTGCAGGGCTACAGAATATGATGGCGCTATAAAACATAAGATAACATAAAAGGGACAATCACTCAGCACACAGACAGTGAGACGGGGACGTTAAGAGTTACCTGTGGGCTGCATGACAGCTCCATTATCTTCAGCAGCAGGTTCTGATCTTGGTCTCGGACTGAATCTTTTGCATCACCTAATCGATCCATCAGACTGGGCAGGACTAGGAGAGAGCAGGGAGAGAAGAGTCAGGAGAAGATGCAGACACAGACTTCTCATCTAAGGACATGTGTTGTGATATACAGGCTGCCTGACAATTCCCAATCGCCGGGCGACTGAGAAATGTTCAGCTTTGCTCTCTGTAACCAATCTAGTATTCCTCAACCTATCTTCAGGGTGGAACCAACCCAACTTAGTGAGTCTGAGCGTTCTCCCCATCCTTATAAAGTGCTGCCTTGTCCTGGAGGTTAGCGGTCCGCAGGTTTCGTGACATCACAGAAGGGAGAAAAACAGAAGAGAGAGAGCAAGGCTGGAGGTGAACGTCATGATTGGGTTCGGGGCACCGAGGCAAACGGACCACCTGCCCCCCTACTGGAGGAACTGGCAGTTCTATAGGAGAAGGTGCAGCACATTGTATTGGCTGCAGAAGAGACACTCCAACCCGATGATGAAGGCTGAGAGAAACGGGAGCAATGACTGGGAGAGTATTAATGTGGAGGAGTGACTGGAGGACCAGGATCCGCGGGCCCGGCACCGTGAGGTGGACAGGGTGAGAGACTGACCTGTGAGTGACATGGGGGGAGGATGCAGCAGGATACGGAAGGTCAGGCCCCGTGTGCAAACTGACAAAGCCGGTGTATTGTGCGTGTGTGATGTCATGGAACGCCCTTACAACGTATGTGTGGGGGTATCATACATAGTCTATCCGTGTGTAACATCATGGAGCACCTTGACACAGGTTGTATGAAGTATCATACATAATCCAGGCGCGTGTGACATCATGGAGCACCTTGACACAGGTTGTATGAAGTATCATACATAATCCAGGCGCGTGTGACATCATGGAGCACCTTGACACAGGTTGTATGAAGTATCATACATAATCCAGGCGCGTGTGACATCATGGAGCACCTTGACACAGGTTGTATGAAGTATCATACATAATCCAGGCGCGTGTGACATCATGGTGACCAGACGACAGTGAGGTTGTTTTTTTTAATTATTTTGCAGCAAATCTACAGAAGATCAGAGCGATGTATTATGTTCCTGTATGTAGAAACTTTACTAAACCCCGCCCCCATTCGCTGACATCACAGAGTCAACCCCCCTCCTCAGCAGAAAGAGACTTCCTGAGATGCGGCACCCTGGACCTCCAGCATTAGACTTCTTTGGGGTTTGACTACCTCCATCTCCCAGCGTCCAGGACACACCGCGAGATGAGGCCCTCAGACCTCTAGGGGGATCTACGATGCAGAGGAAGTGAGAGGAGAGTGGCACTGGATGTAAACAAAGAGTCCCGGGCCAGTGGAGGGGGAGGGTGGGCTCTGTGATGCCAGTGGAGGGGTTCAGGAAGAGCACTTATTCTTTAGCTGTTGCTTAAAGTGACACTATACTCCGGAGTTAAATCTTACAAATCCCTCCGAGTCCCCGAACGATGAACAACAATGTATCTTATTTGTATCACTCGGCTGTAGATCCTCCCCCTCTGTTCCCCATGGTCCCTGTGTGTGTTGTAATGTAGTCACCGCTCCAAGCTCACTCCCGTGATAGACTACAATCTCATGTTTAGTTTACTTGTGTGTGTGTGTGTGTGTATACGTGTGTGTGTGTGTATGTGTGTGTGTATACATGTGTGTGTGTGTGTGTGTATATGTGTATACGTGTGTGTGTGTATATGTGTATACGTGTGTGTGTGTGTATATGTGTATACGTGTGTGTGTGTGTGTATGTGTATATGTGTATACGTGTGTGTGTGTATATGTGTATATGTGTGTGTGTGTGTGTATATGTGTATATACGTGTGTGTGTGTGTGTATATACATGTGTATGCGTGTGTGTGTGTGTGTGTGTGTGTGTGTGTGTGTGTATACGTGTGTGTGTGAATGAGTGTGTGTGTCTATGTATATGTATGTGTGAGCATATTATATATACTGTATATCACACACACAGATAGTATACAAATTGGATTAATTACATATGAAATATTTGACTTCCTCTCACACGTATGATTGGCGGGGGAGGGCGATACGGGGATGTCACCTACCTGTACAAATCTGATTTTTGAAGCGATCTTGCAATCGAGCAATTAAAGCTGATAAAATATCCATTCCCAGCAACGCCACCTGGAAGATGAAGGGTTAAAAATTACAAATCTGGAGCTCAGTACGTAGGAAAAGCCGATTTCAAGAGACAAAACACCATTAAAACCAATCTAAGGCTGCAGCAAATTAGCAAGAGCTGAATACTACAATATGCAAATGAGATACCGCCTGGCATTATGGGTAAAAAGCAATTCCTACACTTTCAGCTACATAAACCGCTATAGGAAGTACTTTAACAAACCCAAAACTGCAATAAAATGGACAGAAATGATACAAAGTGATAAAATGATCATATTCATATATTTCATGGAATTAAAAAAAAATCACCATAACTAAAAACAGGTTTGAGTATTTCCCACCAAAATTCAAACCCAGCACCAGCCAACCATCCTTCTCTTGGGGTGAGCTACTGTCCAATGAACGTGTAGTGAGGGCAGTACTGCTGACACCTATGACAACACATGCGTGCCACTGGTGAGCAATCACTAGAAAGGTACAATTTTTGGAACCCACCAATGACAAGAGTCAATGAAAGAATAATAAGCATGTCAACCCAAAACTAACCACTAGATGGCGGCACAGGATCAGCCACACAGAACATGAGATACAATTCTAATGAGCTCAATGCCATGCTACATTCAATATTATCTGAATCTCCAGGACAGGAAGTGAAATCTCCCCCAAGGAGACAGACCCCAAAAAACAAGATACGAGTATTAACCAATTCCTACAACACTAATGGAAAAACAAGCTTTGGCTTTCCATGGAGTGACGGCTTCTCTGCCCTTTTGTCTACAATCTAGTGTCTGTTCCTTACCCTGAGGTAAGACTGTTGTTGTCTTTGGACAGGAAGGTATTCCCATCAGTGGAGGGGGATGCGGGTCCTTTCCTTACGGTTTGATTCCAGCCTGGTGCACCCAGCTTCTCCCCAGTTATGGGCAGGAACCACCCCGACCCCCTGGTCTGCCCTCGTATGTCCAGGGGGGTCAATAATGCAAGTAGCTCCCGCTGAATGTACCCCTGGGGGTTGCCAAACACTATGGGTTTGGGCCCGCACTTCATGGCACCAGCACAGGGTCACCCAATGCTTTCTCTTGCACTATGGTCCCTGGGCCGGCCTTATAGCTCACTATGGCATGTATTGCACTTGGCAATATTATAGCTATTTGTATTGCACTGACATTTTACATACTGCACATTCACATCAGTCCCTGCCCTCAAGGAGCACTATACAATATTTATTACAGGGAGCACTTTTTTGGGGGGGGGGTTTTTTCACTCAGAGATGGAGGGTGCAGGTCTTTCAGCCTTAAAAGGAGAACTATGGGGTCAGGGCTTTTCCCCATAGTTCTCCTTAGGGTAACGGGAGGACACAAACTAGCGTCCTCCCGTCACCTTAGGCTCAGTATATAGGGAGCTGTAGCTTGCGGTATACTGAGACGCAGCAGCTGAAGCGGATCCCGACAATTATGCCGGGATCCGCCCAGCTGCGTGACTGACAGCTGGCTCTGCCTATCCAGTGGCAGAGCCAGCTGTACTCGCCCCCTCCCTGTCCGTTCCGCCAGTCAGCGCTGGAGGATCGGATCTAGTCCCTTCCGTCACGGCTCTCTGCCGTGACAGGATCGAGAAGTGAGTGAGCGCCGGTATGTGTTCGCTCACTTCCCAATCTACTGGGCCGACCTGTGACAGTCTCATTGTCACAGGTCGGCTAGAACTATGAGGATGAGTGAAAAGCACCCCCCCCTCATAGTTCTCCTTTAATGGGTTCTTTTCCTCCTCCCAGGTACTTGGTGTGCCGACATCAGCTGGTTCCAAAGGATGATAGTCCACCAGGCTTTGGGCTAGGTGGACTAGAGGTCCTTGTCCCTGCTAGGAGGCCCTTTCTTTTGGGGGGGGGGCACTGTTTTCCTGTGTCATTGTTCCCCTGTCGACGTCACACAGCAGTACC